CCCCTTCCCCATGAGTTGTAAGCCGCCCTGAGTCCCCCCAGGGAAAAGGGCGGCCTATAAATAAATTTTCAAATTAAAAAAGGAGGATCATCCCTGAGTATGTCTCTCTACTAGTTGTTTCAGCTAGATTAACAGAGTTGGAAGGGTCCTTATAGGTCATCTAGTCCAATCCCGCCCCCCACTGAAGCAAGAAACCCTACACCATTTCTGACAATTGGCAGTCGAATCTCTTCTTGAAAGTCTCAAGTGATGAAGCTCCCACAACTTTCAAGGGAAAGCTATTTCATGGATTGATTGTTCTCACTGTCAGAAAGTTCCTNTGCCCTATTCTGTCCTATATTTCCGTGTTTTTAAGCTGTTTCACTGGTGCTGCAATAGAAGGTATGTTTTAGAGCTTAAAATAGGTGGGTTTTGAATGTTGCACGTGCGCATGTGCTCACCCAACTGGTTGTTAAACTGGTTGAAGTCCATCACCGATTGTAACCAGTAAAGTTTTGTTGTTACTTTAAATTCACTGGGTCTCCATGTATTCCAAAAAATCAGTTGTACCTCAAGTGTAAATTGAAAATGATTTAAATATAGCTGATGATCAGGGCTCTGATTGTGTAAGTGATCCTAAACTGAGCTGGGGCGTATGTTGGTAATATTACCTAACAAACTTTCATTGTTTGGAACTGCTCCAGCTACAAGTAAAATTGCAGAAGGAGGGACTTTGCCCCTTTCTCCCTTCTCTTTAGAGTTCTTTCTTTATGGAAAGGGGGGAACATTAGAGAATGAACTTGCCTTCCATCTCTGTTGTTGGCGATAACTCAACAGTGAGATTATGAAACTCAGAAGCGCCCACAAGCTCTATGATGCAGAAATAAGTGGAGTAAGTCATCCAGATTTTTGTAACCGAGAGTCATATGTTATATGTTATAATAGTCTTAAATGTCTATATTCATTCCATCTTATGCAAGAGACACCTTAGACCTCTCTTCCAAGACTCATGTCTCCTCTACAGCTTATTATCTTATTTCTTATCCTGTCCTTTTCTAGTTGCATGACAATTGTCATTATTGATTCATTTGTTTTTGTTTGATTCTTTTATTTTAATTTGATTAGCCTTATACTCTTTGTATTATTTACTTCATGTTTAAATAACTTATTTGTCAAACAGATTCAAAATAAGCATAGAAATCCAATAATAATTGCAAACAAAAGTAAAATATTATGAGCTTAAGAATTTCAGTATCAGTTCCCTACTTTTATCATAAGATGTTCCTTAGTATTTAAATCTGGTCTAAGGATGATAATATAACACTTGGGAATGAAGATGCAGCCCAGCAGTCCAGCACTGGAGGCCAAAATGGAGAAAACTTGCACAGCCACCATGGACTTGCCTTTGATGCTTAAATAGGAAGGTATGAATGAAATCCACACACTGCAGAAGACCAGCATACTGAAGGTGATCAGCTTGGCTTCATTGAAAGCCCCCGGCAGGTTCCTGGCCAGGAAAGCCACCATAAAGCAAATGGCAGCTAGGATACCCATATACCCAAGAACAAGATAAAACATGGTGATGGAACCTTCATTGCATTGCAAGATGATTACTCCAGGTTGGGAATGGAGGTCAGAATCAGGGAATGGGGGACAAACTCCCAGCCAAATAGCACAGAGGAAAATTTGGACACCAGAACAAGAAAGGATAATGGAGTTGGCCAAGCTCTTCCCCAACCATCTCTTCACTTGGTTTCCGGGCTTGGAGGCCAGGAAGGCCAGCACAACTGTAATTGTTTTGGCCAACACAGAAGACACTGCTACTGAGAAGACAATGCTGAATACTGCTTGTCGGAGAAGGCACGTAGCTTTCCTTGGTTGGCCAATGAAGAAAAAGGAGGATAAGAAGCAAAGCAGGAGGGAGACCAGAAGGATGTAGGAGAGGTCCCGGTTGTTGGCTTTGACAATGGGAGTTTCTAGGTATTTAATGAATATGATTAAAATGAATCCTGTGGTTAGGAACAAGAGTAGGGCAAAAGAGACCAGAATGACGCCCAGATGTTCTTCATAGGTGAGGAAGGTTATAACTTTTGGAATACATTGGATTCTTTTCTCATTTGGATATTGATCATCTGGGCACTTGGTACATTTTTCAGTATCTGAGAAAAGAAATATAGCATTTAGCAGTTAGACTTATATACCACTTCATAGGGCTTTCAACCCTCTCTAAGCGGTTTACAGAGTCAGCATATTGCCCCCTCAGTCTGGGTCCTCATTTCACCCCCCTCGGA